AGTTCACATGTAAGTGGCCTCGCCCTGACCTTATAGGGCTTACCCTCACAACTGTAATTAGTATTGTATTCCCCATCACTGTCTTCACTATCTTTACTATCCTCGCTACCTTTGATGCTGCCCTCTTCACTATCTTCCCTACCCTCCTCCCGATCTACCTGCCTTCCTGTTTCACTATCTGCACTGTCTACACTATCCTGTTTGTCACATTTGCCACAAGAGCAAACATGTCGGGGGTGCCAAGGACATCTGTGTGTTTTGCCATGATCTCCAATCCACTCATGAACGTCATGGGAATGATATTTTCCCAGAATACGCAGACGATTGACATATTCCTCTGGGTCATTCCCAGCCTGTTTCAGTGCTGAAAAGTGGTTGCTTTTAGCTCTAGCCAGAAATTCATCTGACATACAACCACACGTTTTCGAGTGGGCTCCCTTGCCAGCACACTTACATTTTGCTTTTCCTAGCTCAGGACAATCCTTCTAGTGAGTGGCCACAAAAGACAAATCCACAGACTTTTTCCCCTTATATTCCTTAAAGGTTGTTGCCATGTGCACGACCTACATGACCTCCACAAAGCATGACACGGCTAAGAGAGTTATCAGGGAACACATAGCGAAATGATTTTGCTGATGAGGAGTCAGCATCTTGCCAATTAATGGCAACCACCATGCCCTCCTCTTTTGCTTTAGTGAAACAGACCTCAGCTAGATGACCCTCGGCTGCCTTTGAAGTACCCTCCCAGAGATCTGAATCACATATGTTGTTTGAACCCCTTATAACAGAATGACCATAATATAACGTAGACCCAGTTAAGAAATTAATAATGACAAAAGTACAACATTGGCCATGATGTCCTCTAATAAGCCAGCAGCCATTAGAAGTGGTCACAGCTTTCTTCCAGCTGCCAAGCTCTGAGTGGGGTTTGTCTTTCATTTCACTTTTGCCCATTGAACAAATCCCATCCAACACAGGTTTCACACACGGATGAGCCAATTTAACTATATTATAAAAACTAACATGAGAAAGGGTGTGAATTCCCCAACCTAACTTGAGAATTTTGTGATCAGAAGGGTAACCATGCCCCCAGATGAGGAAGCACAGACCTAAGGCAAGCGATACACAGGTTCTTCTTCGTTCCAGTGAGGCAAACCATGCTGCTTACATAATGTATTCTTTGCCCACAGCCAGTGCATGCGAGCATGACCTTTATGGCCCCTCCCAGACCTTTGTTTACTGTGGAAACTGGTACCAATAAGCCTGTTGAAAAGAAAATTGGCCATTACTCTTTATTGAAAGACTATTTTGAATGTTTCAAGTTTGTCTGTAGTGTATGACTTAGAACAACAGTGGATTTTAACAAATAGATATGGTGAGTGATGGAACTCGTCTTTTGATAAAGTTATGAGCTCCTCTGTATTACAGTTCACCGAAATAAAATAAAACTCCTCCTTTTGTAAAGCACGTCAAAGACTAAAAGAAACAAGCCTCATTTAACATGAGACACAAGAACAGCCCAGAAATCCCCCTAACAAGACATCCAACAAACACAAATCAGGTCAATCATTTGATCTTTGCCTCGTACAGGAGACATACGAAAATTTTGCTTCATTGGGGATTTTCATCCATCAGGGACACATTTTGCAGAGGTAATAAAATCACTGGAACAAGGCAGCGGAGTTGCACAGCGACGTGTAGAGTTTAACTGGTCCAAAAGACTGCCCTGGGCAGTTCAATGCCCTCTTGACTTTGCAAATTTATTCTAAATAAAATAACGAGTAAAAAACATCCTACAAATCATGGGATCATGTTCTTTGAAAGAGGGAATGGAAAACATTAGCACAAAAATACAGGAACAAAATTAGCAATATCTCACACACAAATGAAGGGATAAAAGATATCAACAAAAATTATAACTATTTTGACATAGAGCAAAGCCTTACGTGCTATTCATTGCAGGACTACAGTTTTCTTTGTATCATAATTATGATGAAAACTTTCTATGGCTCAAAATTTTGTGGTATACGAATATTGCATAGAAGAAAAGGTATCTCGTACTATCTCACACAGAAAAGAAACGTATAATTGTGGCAATGCTGGTATTTTACTTGAAAAACTGTAAAACTTAGCATCGGTCTCATCTTTTAGTTGTGTATGCTAAGTCAAAGCAATCACAACTCTCACGTAAGAGAAATGCATTCTATCGTACAGATGAGAATTACTTTGCAAACGAATAATGGAAAATGTAAATAACAAAAGAAAGTATAATTTGTCACCTTTCGACCACGTTTTCAGCTGCAGGAATTGCCGTGGAGGAATCTACTTTTCTTGGCGTGTCCTCAAAGTTACTGGACATTCCTCCTTCTTCTTCTGTATCAGGGCAGTAGCTGTAGTTCATGTCCTCATCCGACTCGCTTGATTCTTGCGTTGGAGCTGCTGACGCACCAATACTGCACCGAGAGAAGGCAAAAAAATTGTCTTCATTTTTCAAAAACTCTGCCACTTCTTTCGTTGAACGAAAACGTTTCTTCGCGGGTGGAGGAGATTCCATGATATAACTCTTTCTACTCCTTTCAACATTCCATCCTGCTGCTTTTAGCTTTTCCAGATCAATCACCACTCTCGAACCTTCTCCTCCAGCGACTCGGCTGTCGTACTGACACATGCACATCTTCAGCAGCGTGCAAGATCCATACGGAATACTATTTACAAAAATTATTTACAATATATTCTATAAGTGCGAAAACTTGAAAAAACTTGAAGAGAAGAAGAATATTTACAAAAATTTACAATAGATGAATGCAGTCGACGGAACAAGAACAGGTGCTATCGAAGGAGACCGTGGATACACGAAACAACTTCGCAAACTCGCGAGAGTGTAATAAAATGCGCAGTGTCTTCTGTGCGTCAATACTGCTGATATTTAGATCGCTGTTTTATTGTTTGAGGCTGATGCTAAGGGGCTTGCCTTTGTTTCGATTTCCTCGCTTTTTCTTCGAGAGACGTGTCCCAGACATCATTGCAGCTTCTGAAGACACAATCCAACATGGCGGATCGACTACCAGTGAAAAAGCGAAGAAAAATGTATGAAATTTGATGCTTTTTAGGGTGTAGTTGACCTTATTTTGAATACTTTCTTAAGTAAAATCGGAAATTGACCAAATTTGCGATCTTTGGAACCAGAGTTAGTCTCCACATGGGGCTAAGTCACATTTAACTCATTTTATTTATGTTGCTTTATTTAGGTTGCTCCCGTGAACCATGTTTCATAGCCTGCAGTGCACTATGGTAAACCCTCTTGTAGCAGGAAGTTTAGTCTTGTTCACATTCATTGAAATAATGGAGACCATTATTGAAATCAAATGGCTGCTAAAATTCTTAAACATGAGTGAGCTGAAGAATTTCATTTTAAAAATCTAGCAGTAAGAAATTAGAAGCCTCTTCTTTTAACAACATTAAATGAATAGGGTTTTACCGCCAGATTAAGCTGCGTTTTCTCATGGGCCAGAAAGCTGGTCATTTCAATAAAACAAATCAACTGGCCTATTGTTTTTTCTATTCAGTGTTAAAAAACATGTCCTCTAAAATAGATATTTGCATAACATTACAGTGGAACCCCGCTATAACGAACCTCGCTATAACGAAGACCCCGTTATAAAGAACAACATTTGAAAGCCCGGCAGATTTACAGTAAAATATGTTGAAACGAGCCCCGCTATTACGAACCCCGCTATAACGAAAGATTTTGACGGTCCCAACGCACAATTTACCTCGCTATAACGAATATTTTGTCGTTGCTCGCTCGCAGTCAGTAACAACGACAGATTTGAGCGTAGAGTAGAATTCACAGCTTGCTTTATTCCGGTTTTCTCAACACGCGACAGAAGATAAAACGCTGTACAGATCAACAGTCAACAAATCCTTTGACAGCAACCTATCAGTCAACGGCTTATTATGTCATAGACATTGGCGTTATACAGTATTTCGACATCAATTAACTTCTGCTCTCTTCTTTGTCTCTTATTAATTCTATTAACTTCTTCACTTTCGAAGGCTTCTTGTGATAAAACAAATAAGTAGCCGGAATTTCTAGTCCAATGCCCTTGTTTCTCCGTTTACCAGTCACTTCCACTGAGATTTGTCCTCCGTGTTTTAAGAACAAGTGAAATACACGTGACAGTGTCAATGGCACATGACCTACGATCTGCTGCATGCCTCCTTGATCTTGAACCCGTTTAACGGCAACAGCATGGGTGTCGTGTGGGTTATCAGGCTCGTGCTGCGTAAAAAAACACGCGTGTTGCGGAGATCAATTCATTCATCAATACTGTAACGCCAAATTTTCAAAGAACTAAGGGGTTTGTTTTTATCGCCAACGTTCTGTTCTCTACATTTGACATTGTTAAACACGTCTTACCTCGCAATCCAGAACTTCACCAACAACTGAATCCCATATATTCTTATACACATGGTAGCCTCGAATACAAGGTCGAAAGGAATAAGTTGTTGCTTCCATTGATGTATCTTTTTAAAACTATGAAATTACAGAATGAATCACTTCGCAGCAACACTAACGTTTTACAGCCGTAAACAACGCAGGCCACACAGATCTTCTATTTCCTGTGAATAGTGTATACGAGACACACCGGCTTTTAAAAACAATCAGACAAGGCGTGAAATTTCATCACTTTTTAACTAATTAAGTTAAATTCCCGCACGTACACTGCATCAGGCTATTTTGTTACGTAACCTGAAGCCATGTGCTGTTACATTTACAATCGCTGTTGAAGACAAGAAAAGAATCAGCCAACATGGAGAGTCCTGAAAAAACGGGTCTTTCTGATGGAATAAGCGAAATTGCTGCGAACAACAAAATTGGGAATGTGGCTACGCCATCAAATAATCAGAAAGAGCCAGATCCCAAGAAATCTACGACGAAGGGGAAGCGAAGAACTTTAACTTTAGAAGAAAAATATAAACTCGTCTCAGCAATCAAG